TATTTGGTAAACAAATATTAACCATAAGTAACAGTTACAGTTTTGTTAATGCAATATTAACTTTGTTCAATACAAACATCTTTTAAAAGATAAAAATCAGTTTATAGAATAATAAGTTAAATAATTTTAACTACATCATCCTTTACAAAAAGTCTGAGGTAACACAAGACAATTTTTCTACATTAGTAGTGACAAAATCTAACTAGATGTTATTTAGAAAGTCAGTTTATAAAGTTAACCATCTATGACCTTGTCTTTAATTTAGAATGTTCCTGCATAGACATCTTCACAAAACCTCATTACACCAAGAGATGTCTTTCTACAAATAAAACACGAGCCTGAAACTACAGAGAGTTACTCATCACAGCAATACAACAGACCCAGGAGATATCACATTTAAATATACTTAATAGACAGCAACTACTGTAGAAGATAAAAGTAATGTGCAATTAAAAAAAAATGTATATTTCCATAATTACACTTGTTGTTTATATCTATAAAAAAAAATTAGCTATTTCTCAAAATACCTTAGCAATTTTTTTTTTAAATTAACTTAATTTAGAGAAGCACAAGAATAAACTAACAGCAGATAATGGAATAGAATTTTATAAAGGGGAAATATTTAAATTGCAAGAAAAACTATTCAATTATTTATTTTTAATTATAAATCCCTTTTTTATATTCTTTAAAGCTTAGCAAATATGAGATCAGAATATTTAGGTGCCCTTGGTAGCTTTCAAGTAGACACTGTATAAATAGATTGACATTTAGCCTCACTAGATGAGCTGAACGAAAGGCAAAATCTAATAAAATGCAGTGGGGGATTTAGAAGATTTTCATAATCCCAAATTAGATCACACACCCAGTTACTCAGCTCGACTTTAACTTTTCTCTGAAACAGTTGAATAAAACGAGCAGACAGAGCAAAACAATCACTGTGCAATATTAAAAGTTAATTGTAAAATTAAATTTGGTTGATTTTTCTCAATTAACAAACGAGAAAAGAACTAGAATAAAGCTTTTTCCTAAAAGGTACTAAATAAACAGGATCAAATATAGGAACTCTAAAAATAATATTCCTTGATGATTAAAGAGAATAAACTGAAAGTAGAGAAAAGAATTTTGCTCCTAACACCATCTTTTCAACAATTCATCTTGCAGATATTTATAGTGATGAAAAAATTCTATTTGCGACAGATTTCCTACTTTAAGATTTTGAATTTTCTTTTTTCAAATTAGCAGCACTTTCAGCCATTTGTAAAATTGATTCAACTCTAAAGCATCTTTTGTTAAAGGCCAATACTCCAACATCCCAATTGCTTTATAACAAAAGAGATCAAAATCTTTCACATCCAAGTCATTTCCCAATACAATAACTTAAAATCAGTTTTTTAATATTATTTTTAAGAAAAACGACCAACCTTATAACATGGCTAAGCAACAAACTGCAACTATTACATAAAAATTACTTTTAATGTTCTTAGGCCTTCAAGTTTAAGCTGTAACTATTCTATTTCAGTATAGACACTAGTCCCCAACACTTACACAAATCACTTGAGTATAGAGTTAAATGCACATTCCAGAGCTGTTTTGATTATTGCCATAAATAAAACCTGTGCTATTCAAAGAAAGAGCAGTTAAGAATAAGCATGAAAATACTTTTTCTTTTAACTGCAATATGCTGAGGTAAAGAATGCACAAATAAAAACGCTATCAACAGACGTAAGAAATAAATCACAGTCAATAGTGAGCATTTTGCCTGTTATTTCTTTACATCAAAATTGTGCTCCTCTATAAACAAGAGCAGGTGTTTTCAAGATGTTCTTATTCATAAAAGCAATTCCAGGAGGAGGTTCTAATTGCTTGAGCAATAAGTACAGGAAGTTATTGTTCATCACAGAAGCCTACTTTATCTTTCTCTAGACTTGAGCAAAGATGTTTATATAAACTAATTTCCGTCCATTGACAAACAGAAATTTCAAATTCAAGAACAATGTTTACCCCAATTTGCTACACAAAACACACAAGCAAAATTATGCATTGTTGGTCATCTTTATCAGAACAAATCAGAAAAGTGAATTTTAAATGAATTTACTTAGATGTCCTTCTCATGAAGGCCACCTTATAGATTACAACTTGAATTGTATATGATAATCAATAGTAACAGTTTTTTTTTTTTTTAAAGTTATTTGGGGGAAAATAGGGAATGGAATCAATAAACTGAAAAATTGACACATTTTGGCAGTAAATTGGCATTTTAAAAAAAAAAAAAAATCACGCAAAATAACTTTTTGGGTGGCTACCTAAATCAGTATTATTAAATTATGCAAAAGGTTAATTTATTTTTAAATCATAGAAAAAGTTGGAATTTCTATAAAAACAAAAAAAACTAAGAAGGATTCTCCTCACTGAGAAAGCTAGCCTCATCATGCATATTTTTTTGTCTGTGCCAGGAGGACAATCCTTATAAAATTCGTATATGTTCACTCAAAGGCTTTCCTCTTTCATTGTATGAAAAACTGAATTCCACTACATTCAGTTTTTCATTTAACTCAGAGGAAAACAGACATCAATGACAATCAACACTAGTTTATTTTTATTTGATTCGGAATCTCCTAAAATAAATAAAATTTGTCATTTGTTGAGGATTTTTTTCCTCAAGTACGTAAAACCTGTTTTTTTTTTTTTTGTTGTTTTTTTTATGTCTATCTGACAAAAAGTTACCTTTGTCACAGCTGCCCAGTGAACCACAAACTTTTAAAACGTTCGCGACAAATTTGATTTCACACGAAACAGTTCATGAATATTTAAGAACTCACTAAAAAAACCTGTGGTGGGCTGAAACAAATCCCCTGGATGGAGGGAAAAAGACTAGCATAAATCACGTGGCCTCTTATTTTCAAAGCTGTCTACTCAAAATAGATGTTCATTTATAATTATATTTATTTTCAAACGAGAGAAGACATTGATTAGCTACAAAAAAAAAAAAAATAACACTTTCAAATGAGATTCCCTTTAATTTATCTTGTAAAACGATTTATTTTAAACTTGACTTCCTCAAGTCGTGAGCAACCATGCTGGTGGTATTATTAAACAAGTAAAAAGCCATAGAAATGATTTACACTTTTAGTGTCACAGTTAAAGACAAGTTTCCTAATTGCTTGCAAACATTTCCTTAAGTCTGTAACTTCTGACACAAACAAAAAAACTCATAAAAACTTGTCTCTCCTTAACAAAAGGCTCTATCATAAAAAAAAATCCTTAAAGAAAGAGTCAAGGATTTTTTTTTTAATGATAGATAGCCCGTTCTTTAAAACTAAGCAGCAAGCATATTTTTGCTTGTACATGTTTTTAAGGTTAAAAAATTTTAAAGAAATAAAGTGTCTTGGAGATAATGTCACTTAGGCAAATAAATAAAATTATGTTCCTTAACTTTAAATTTCTAGTTATTCACAATGATCGACACAATTATTTTTATTACACAAATTATCAAAAAAAAAAAAAAAAAAAAAAAATCATTAAAAAACTGTAGTTTCTTTTATCACACATGAAACTGCAGTTTTTAGAGAGACTTACTTACATTAAAAAAAAAAGAAGATAAATTACGTTTTACAACTATTAGTCATAAAAGGCAGTAAAGAAAGAAACATTCTGACTGATGTCATCACCAAGAGGGTAATTAAAATATATATTCCGGTTTTCATTCATTTTGTCATTTTTAATTAACTCGACCCAATACAAGTTTATTTATTTTATTTATTCTTAATGAAAATAAAACATTTTTTTTTTTACAGAAAGAAATTCGTTCAAATTATTAATCATAATGAAATAAAATCCGGATTTGAGTTAAAAATGGACATAGATCGCACTATGTTGTTATACACTTGCACATATGTATAAATTATACAGTAATCTTTCTTTTTAAAAAATTAAAATGCACCTTTTGAACAACAAAAGAAAAAAGGTTTTAAAAAGTGTAATAATTTAGGGGCCGCCATGGGATTGCTTGAAAATGAGCATATGACAAAAACGGCCTTAAATTTGACAAAAAAATCAAAATTTTATCAAAAGGTTTATGTTACAATAAGAAGAAAGAACAAAATTATTTTAAAAAAAATTTCAATCCTTTTTACAACATTCTAACTTTTGGTAAACAAAAAAAAAACTTGTTTCTCTTTGCATCCAGGGGTACTACTAAAAATAACATAGCAAATTTAACGCATTTTTTGTTAATAACAGACATTAATTTGGAAAATCTTGCAAAAATAAAAATAATTGTTGGATTTTAATGAAACTTTCAGAAACTATTCACAAATGATGAAAATTATTATAAATATGTTTTTCTTTTGAAAGTCACGGTAAAAAATATTTTTTAACTTGGTGGTGGTTAATGTTATTGTTCAACAACTATTTTATTATTTATATCTCAAATTATGTTGTTGTTTTTTTATTAACAAGGTTAAAGAAGTCATGATATTTAAACAACAAAATCCACATCAGCTGTTTAAATGCCAAGAATAGAAACATCTTCTTCAGACATTGTGTCAATGTTGATCACTTAATTAAATACACAAATAATGGTTGTGGCATACTAAACATTAAAACAAGCTTACTACTATAGTAGTTTTGATCATTAAATACCCTTAAAAAAACATCCACCTAATTATTTATGTTGTTTACCTACTATATAAAAATCAATTTAATAATTTCCTAGCCAAATTATATCGAAAGAAAGTTAACAATCCGGATGGCGTAAAAAAATGACATTTTGATGATGAGGTCTGAAGGTAGCTGCTTTTTATGGTTTCAAAAAAGAAAAAAAAAAGGTATCAGTCTTTGTCTAAGTAACTCCATTGTAATCATCCCAGTTGGTTAATACGGCAATAAACGTTTACTTATCTGAATAAAGGTGACATTCACAAAGAATGAAAAACAAATAGATAATTTTTAAAAAATTAAAAAAAAAAAAAAAAAAAAGAGCAAGGAGTTGGACAACATACCTGCTGTACAGCCATTTAGGTAAAAGGTGAGGTCTTGACGTCGGTTCTCGCGCTTCCTTTTTTAAAAAGTATGAATTGATTCCGATAAAGAGACGAACAGGAAATACAAGACAGTAGCCGATGGGATTATGTAGCAAACACGATAGCTATGACATATAATATGTATATGTGTAAAATAAATCTAATACCTAAACACTGTAATTTTAATGTGTATATGCCCCAATGGCGACAGGAAGCAGACAGCGTCGACAATGACTTTAGAAAGTCCGTAAAAAAAAAAATAAAACAATAAGGTGATGATGAAAATCTGACAAGTTGGTAGACTCGGATATCTAAATCCAGATCATTCCAAAACGACAATTGTAGTGTTTTTTTGATAATTTTACGTCTGCGGTGGACCTCATGGTTCCATCCCACAAACTCTGACAGCTAGGTAGACCGCCATATTGTGGCACTACTTAGACTGTTACAGGGATTAGTTGTAATACGACGCAACGCTAATACTACAGCCAAACCACAACCCTCTCCGCTCGGTAATGTAATTATTAGTATTTTCAATTTATCCTTCCGCACTCTACTCGAGATTTTGTAGGCGGTAAAAATCACTAGAGAAAATCTAAGTAAATGAGTAGAGGCTAGAAATCGAAAAATATAGTTCTCATTTCTCCAGCTGCAATAAACTGGGTTTTATTATTGTTCACCGGTTAGATTATTTTAGATGGTTGGTATGATTTGTTTTGGTTGCAAATTGCTGATATTTTTGATGTCTTTGGTCGTTTTTTTAAATTAAGTGGGTGGTAAAAACAGTTGTGTGTGATAAGTGGCGTGATAGTGTAGCAGGAGTAGCAGTAAGGAGTTAAAGACGATTAAGGTTCATGCCGAAACGAATTCGGCTTCTAAATTCATGATTATAAAGTTGCCGGTAATAAATGCATTGTCTGCAATAATAATAACTATATAGCTATGAGCAAAGTCTTTATATTGTTTGCATGTATTAAACAATAAACGGTTTTAATTTTTTTTTTAAGTGTAATTTATCACGAAACAGCTGTTTTAAAAAGTTGCAATGGAATATGGTTAAACAAAACTTTTTTTTTTTTTATATGAAGTTATGATATTGAAAGTAATTTTAAGAAGTAAACATTTATTTTATGTCTGTGGTTTGGTTTCAAGAAAATTATTAAGGGATAAATTATTACTTTAAAATGGCAATAAACTTAAAAACTAGGTAAGACTGCCAGTGAAATTTAATTAAATCATGGGACTCAAAGTAGTGGTAAAAAAAAAGTTATACCCAAATTTAGAAATAACGTTTCTTGGTTTGTAAATAATATCAGAATAATCGTAAAATTTAGTAATTACAGGTGAAATGACTTCATTTACATCGATTCTTAATGTTCCATTACTTTTTAATTTATTTTATTTTATTTTAGCAGTAAAAATGCAACAAGAAGAGTGAGAGAATGAATGGATGAAGAAAAGCACTCTGTCTTTAATTAACCAGGATAAGTTTTTAATTTTTAAAGAACTGCAAGCAGCAATTTAAAAAAAAATGTCAGATATTCTTTAAGTTACTTTTTTTACCATTTGTTAATATATATAAGAATGGTATTAGTAATAATATGCAACATTTTTAAATCATCAAAAATATCTTATTTTTTATGTGTGCAGTCGTTAATTCTAAGAAATTCATTAAAAAAATTAAAATATTTTTTACATGATTATGAAATGTGAATGATAATGTTTAATTTTGTGTTTTTTTTTGTATTACAAAAAAAAAAAAAATTTGAAAAACCGACTTTTAAACAGAAACAGTACCTGAAGAAGACTATAGAATGGATTTTAGTTTTTAGTTGAGTCATTGTAGGAACGACAAAAATCGCAAAGAAATTTGTTCACGTGTCTGAAAATGTTTTTTGAATGATAAAAAACACTATTCTCCAAATTATAAAGAATATATAAAATATAAAATAGTGGTCAATTTTTTTTAATTTTTTATCTTTTTTTATTTACAAAAAAGAATTTTCTTTTCCTATTTTTGTTAAGAATGAAGAAAATTTTATATTCGGCAGTACATTTACCTTAGTTTTATTCTTAAAGAGTAGAACTTTTTCTTTATTTTCCGTTTTTTCTTTCTTTATTTTTAGCTATTTTAGAAATGGGAGCATTTTTTTTTTTAATCAATTCACCTTAAGCAAGGTGATAATGCCACTATGAAAGATGAGTAAAAAGGAAGTAAAAGCAAATAAGACTTTAGAAGGAACCTGAAGCCCAATCCCAAACAAGGGATAAACCTCTACTCCTATTCAAAAGACCAGAGAGGAGTGGGAACCGGATGATAAGCGAATCTAACATTAATAATTTTCACAGATATCATATGATATCTGTTAACAAACCAATCATTAAAAAGATGTACCATTATTTTAGTGAGGTTAATGCATGTTACAAGATAAAGTCTTGGTTGCAATGACTGTCTTCTCATGGTGACCTCTGATCAGTGTGAGGCTAAATTAAAATTGTCAGGAGACAGATAAAGGAACATAATTTATTTTGACAGATCAAAAAAATACAAATCAGAATTCTCTCAAAGAGGAATAAAGCTATATCTGCCCAGGGTTAAACTAGTAATTTGCACATCTCTTGACATTTTGCTGATAACTGTCCACCTACTGAGTTATTGATGTTGCCCAGTACACACTACCCACAATTACTATATCACCAACTTCACAAACCAACATTTTAATCTACTAGGCTATTCTGTGGAGAACTTGGAGCCATAAACCTAAACTACCTACTGATATGGGCTGCTATTAAAAAATTTATTACTTCTTTTGAAAATTAAATTATGTATAAAATCCCAAATTATGAATTTTAGGATATTTCTAGATATTTTATGTCTCCAGAAAGGTTTCTGTTAACAAATTAAGGTTGATATTTATTTATTTAAAAAAAAGAGAGATGATTTTTTTTTTATGAACCTTGTTATCAGCTGTCCAATTCAGAAGTCATAAAAAATGTGGCCCGTCTGAACTACAACGCTTTTTCAGTATTCAATGACACATTTTTAGAGTCAATAATATTAACTTATACTTATATATCTTGTATCCTATGCTATGAATTCAGCACCTACAACAAGTTTTTTGTATATAAAAAGAAATAAGAACTCCAAGAATATTGTGATGCTATCAAGAATATAAAACCTAATGTCTAAGCATTGTATTTTACAGTTAAATACGTGATCACCTTTCATGCAATTTCTTTCATAATTGAATAGTTGACAACTACTTTCTTATATTATGGAGGCATTGATTATTACAAGCCGGTCACTACAAAATAAAAATGTTGGAGGTGGCGACTAAGTCAGATGTTATGTTTAAAAAATTCCAGAATCTATTTTTTTTTTATCTGATCCTCTCATAAAATAAACATATTTCTTAGATATATTATCCTAGTGTAAATCAGTACTTGGGGGATAGCTTGGAAACACTGTGTACTCTAATTGAAAATACAACTTGGAAATACTGTGTACTCTTACAATTGAAAATGTGCTTTGGTTTTAAATAATCCACAAAAGGTTGATAAGCCATAAAAAATACAAATCAATCAATCCTTCTATAAACATTTTTTTTTCTTGTAACTATTTTCTGGAATGAGACATATATTTTTTCCACATCTAAAATTTATACAAAAGTTTTAGAAGCTAATGTTTCAGGAAAAAAATACAAAATGAATTTTTTTTTTTTTTTTTTAATCATTTCACTCCAAGCAAGGCAATGAAGCCACTAAGATGCAAGAGGTTACCGAGTGTTAGATAATATGAAAAAATAAACAAAAGATACTATTAAGGAGAGAGAACAATAAAAAACAGGATTTAAGAAGATAAAAGATAACAATTGACACGGCATTTAAATTTTTGAAGATCAAAGTTTGACTGCGAAGCAAGAAGCTGGAAGAGGATTTCACAATTGAGATGTGGCCTTAGTGTAGTATGTCTATGGAACCCTTGCAGGGATTGTGATGAGCTGAGGACAATGGAAAGAATTTGCAAAGATTTTTTGTTAGGCAAGAAATGGCTTCTTAATTTTAATGCCTCCAAAACTAAACTGCTGTCTTTTAATCATCTTAGAGAACCCTTTTTGGCATCCATCAGCATGAATTCAGGAAAGTCACTCTGTGCACCTTCTCAGTTAAATGTTTTCCACTAATATGGATTGGAACAATTATCTCAAGTCAGTTGCAAAGAAAGTTGGTTCATTGTGTCATGCTAGACAATTTTTCTCAACTGAAATTATCTTACACATTTATAAGGCCAACATTCATCTGTGCATTGAATATTGCTGCCACATATGGCCTTGTGCTTCTGCTATGCATCTAGAGATTCTTGACAAATTCCAAAGAAGAATCTACAATTTTATCAGTCCTGATTGGGCATATCAGCTTCAATCATTTTGCCCTGCCAGAACATTGCTTCACTCTGCCTTTTCTATAAATATCTTCATGGTATTTACCCTGATAAGCTTTCCTTTTGGTACCTCAACTTCATGAATTTAAGTGCGATACTAGATTGGCAGCTAAGTCTCATCATTTTACTGTTGAAATAACTTAGTGTAATTGTAAGTTCTATTCTAATAGTTTCTTCTCCGCACTTCTTGACTGTGAAACTCTCTTCCAGCTTCTTGCTTTACTGTTAACCACAACCTACAAAAATTTAAATGCAATATCAATCAGCAACTTCTGTCTCCTTGAATCATGTTCTTTTTTTTTGTTCCTTCCTTCCTCAGTTTCTTTCTCTCTCAGTAAGTCTTCCATGACTTAGTGTTTTTATTGCTTTGCTTGGGGTAAAATGATTAAAAAAAATGCAATTTCCACATTTGACAAGTTGTAAGCACATTTATGTACTTGTAAAACCTATCATAGCTTTTTAGTTTTTTTTGTACACAGTTAACTTCATAGATGTAAATTTTGATTACAAGAAGACAGCATATACAATCTTAAATCATAAAGTTTTGTATTAT